ATGAAATTAAATTGATTAAAACCATAGTAAGACATTGTGTGAATTAATTTTGCAGCCGAATTTTGTACCTCCACAGATTCCTTCCTCGAAAAATTGGGCCTACCTGTTGACCATTCGATGCATGGTAAATTAAAGTCACCGGCTAACAGAATGTGATCATCCGGGTGATTTTCTATAATATGAGCTGTAATGTTCAGTAATATTTGTATACGTGTGGGAATATTCCGATCGGGTGGCAGATAAATAACGGCGACATGCAAATCCTTTCTATCGGTATTAATAACTCGCGCGGGTATAGTAAGCCAAACGCACTCAACTTCACTGTGCCCCCACTCGGTACGCGGCCGGGCTTGCAACCATGAGGCACACAGCGCCATCACAGCGCCGCCGAGCGTGCCCCTGTCACGGCGAATTACATCGTAATTATTATTGCAAAGTTCTGAATCTAGGATGCCGTCACACAACCATGTTTCCGACAGCAATGCTATGTCAAAATCGGTCGAAAGTGTGTTATTGTACAACAGATTAGTCTTTGTGCGCAATCCTCTTACGTTCTGATAATATATACGTAAACTATTAGCCATCGCGAATGAATAGTGTCTTAAGTGTGTTATATAGACATATCCATGTATTATAGTGCTTAGATAGGTCCCGATAACGTACAGAAGAATGTAGGTGAATATTAAAAAATATAGTCGTTATTAGAGTGACATCGATAGTGCGACGTTGTGCATTAAAAAACGACCCGACAAAAAGACAGAATAATAATAATTCGCCAGCATTGACATTATTATGAGTGTAAATGAACAAGATTTGATTAATTCTGTATAAATGATAAATAGTGTTATAAAATTTTGATGATAAACTATATGTAATCAACGACTTACATAAACGCTTCGCATCCAATAGAAACATCATAATTACCTTTTCAAAATGTTTAGTGGTAGATTTTTGGTTGATTAAAGTGTATAAAGAGATGAATATGTGAAGTGGCAGTTGTGAATGATCTTGTAATACAACAATGTTCTTGAGGTAATAACAGCAATTTATAAACATAGGAATTATGATATTTTTTAAATCGGACATTGTTACTATTGTCAAAGGAGGTGAAGTGTCGTTTCGACGAATTAAAATACGACAGTTTTTTTTCCAGATGTATTTATAGCCAGTTTCCTTGGATTTCAATTTAGCTGCTTTTAACAGCGATTTGTTTTCTCGAGTTAAATGCTCATTTATAAATATTTTAGTATCTTTCGACACTTCATCTCCCAAGCCGACATCGTTACACGTGAAGGCACGTTTCTTCCGCGCTGCAGCTATGATAACATCCTTCATAGATCGTTGCTTGAAGCGCGCGACGATATTCCTTTTTATTATACCCTTATTAGTATGGTAAGGTTGAACTCTGTGAGCAAACTCCAGATCAGCGGTGGTTATGTCAACACCAATATGTTTCGCTATGCTCAACACGATTTTACCGGTGTTTTCGTCGCTGCTCCCAGGAACACCTGCTATTTCGATGTTTTGTTGACGCGCCCATTGCTGATGCCGAGCACTCTCGCTTTCAAGATGCTTTACACGTGTTTCGAGTGATGTCAAATTGCTACGCAGAGCGCTGTTCTCATCCCTCAGCGTCTTAAGCTCATTTGAGTTCGTTATCATGAGTTTTTTAAATCTTCATACTGTGAGGACGCGAAAGCTACAGACGACTCCAAACTGCTAATCTGATTTTTCATGGATTGGAACTCCGAATTTAATATATTGCGTAGAGTGATATTAAGTTCCTCTTTGATAATTATACGAATGTCACTCCGCAAATCAGTATCCTTGATACTCTCTAGTCCAGCTACAGAAGTGCCGGCAGGCCTACGTAGAGTAACGTTGGAGCAGTTATCATCACCCGGACTCATAGCTTTTAACGGTGTGTTACTGTTATCACCCTTAGGGCGCGCATTGTTACATAGAGGGCAAATCCATCCCGTTTGCTTTTTAAAATTCTCCTTTGTAAGATTCACGCACAAATAATGATAGTGACTGGAGCATGTCTTCCGAGAGCAGGTGATTTTGTCAGCGGATTTGATGTTTTTAGTACATGCGCCACAAATAGTCATGATGAATATATAACAATGTAGGTACCTCTCAGACGCAGTTTAAATCGGTTGTATCCGACTCCAACTCACGCTCGAAATCAACAATATCGGCAAAGAGTGGCGCACTTACAGCACTTTAAATGGAAAATTGACTATTTAGAAAAATATTGATGAATATATTTTATTGCTAAATAAAAACGACTAAGTATCAGAACACGTCTAACCGGACCGTAGGTCGAGGGTATATTGAAAACGATATATCGAAAAACGATTTATTCTAACTGCGGCAGCGCGAATTTATGCGAGTCCAGGGGGTTAAAAGCGAAGCTTTACACTTTTACAGTACTTGGGTTTTCGAAAGGGTCGTCTCAGTGGCTGATTATCTGGCCAGCACAATAATAAGACGAATAGCAAAGATTCTTAGGGACGTTTTCTTAAGAAGCTACTTTTAAAACTATTCGTAATAATGACGTGTAAAATAAACTGAATTAACCTTCAAATCGATTGGTATATTTTGTTAATTTATTCTCAAATTTCTAATCACCTATACTTTTTCCTATATTTTTTTTCAAATATTGTGATTTGAATAAATATTACAGTAAAACAGTGAACACACAAAAGTTCCAATCTCGCAAGTTCTCGCCCAAATTCCAATCTTGCGAGATTGCATTCCCTAGCCACATTACGCAAATGCCCAGAGCAGGAGCCGCATAATGCATGTCCTAACTATGACAATGCCCAAATATTTAGGTCTCAGATTGAGACGAATCCTAAGTTTAATGAAAACGGGCATTAGCCGCTATACACTAAGGGTTGGTTGCACCAAATTTCTCTAACAATAAGAAACATGTGAAAGTACGTACCAGTTCAGTGAATAATGAGTTGCACTATTTCGCAATTGTTAGACGACATCATGACTTTGCTGGTCAAAGTTATTGATTTATTATGCCAAAAAAGAGGGTTGTGCAACGCATTCCGCAATGTTAAATCACCAACTTATTTTTTTGAACAGGTTATGAAAACTTTGTGCATTAGACAAGATAAGTAACAATTAAAACGGCATATTCAGGAATAAAATATTTTTATTAACAACATCACTTCATTTCACGATACAATACTGTATTGCAGTCTCAACAGAAAAAAATAATTATAATGAAAATATGTTCATTAAGCTTATCAATAAGACATAAAAAAGGGTACAATAATTATATTTTAAGTCAATATTTCGAACGTTTTTGAAAGAACAATATTTTAACCAAATGGTAGTTATTCTTTATAAAAATGCTTAAAAATCCGTATTTTCATCAATGTTAAGTCAATAAAAAACATTAACCAGCATAGCATTTGAATGCAAAATTGATTAAATATAACAAAAGGTATTTTCTATTGACCAATTTATTATTCATCAAATTGTACGCAATCGAAATCAGTTTCATTGAACCAGAATAACGCTTTGACGCCAGATGAACTGTTTTTTTCGATAATTTCTTTAATTTCAGCTTTTAAATTAGAATCAGAACAATGGTAACGTCTTAATACATTGATTACTACGTAATAATATGCAATCACCTTTGGATTCACTAACATAGACTTAAGAACAAGATACCGACTCTGCTTTGGAAAATCTAATGAATCAAACACATTCCACAGTATTTCTGTCAATAAACTATGAACTAATTGATTAATAGAAGGAACGAATTCATCAAATGAGTTTATTAAACTCTTTCCAAGCAAAGGTGTTATCATTATACACAATTTATGCCACTGTTTATATAGCTCACTTTTTGTTCCCACCTCTAAAATCTCTATCGGATTATCATTTAAGTAATTATTGAATACTTCCACAAAACTCATAACCATGTTCAATAATAATTACGATTAAGTATATGATTTTTTTGTTCGTTTTCGGTTTTGCAGTTTGACTCGCACTTGGTCAGTTTTTAGGCTAATTATAAACAAAGGAAAATATTAAAATTAGTTTGGAAAGCGAAAAAACGTATAATTCTTTTTTAAACATAACGCAAAGATTATGGAAATATTACCTATATGTAAAACCAACTACTAAATTAAAGAAAACAATATAAGTAATTAAGTATCTCATATTCTACTGTTAAAAAGCATGCAATGACTTATCTATTATGCCATTCAATTAAAATGTTCCAAGTATTATATTTTATTTAAAAACTCATTTATTTCATAAAAACATTTATCAACTAGCCATGACTTATATAATTTTTGTGGCAACAATTTTAGTTCATCCGATATATTATTATTAATATCTTTAGTGACATCATATATGACTTTCTTTAATAAATGCCAAATATTATTTATTAGGAAATCTTGTGTTAAAATTAATATTTTTTTTCTACAGTTTAAAGTTAAACAAACAAACACACCAGTTTTTAAAACACAGTAGCGTCATCTAGCGAAAACAGCTATTAGTCGTATTTTATTATTTTGCCAGACTAATAATTCCTCATTAAATTATGTTATTGGAAATACCGCAAAATTAAGACAACGAACATAAAAAAAAAATCAAAATCCTGTCTTAAAAGTACAATATTTCAAATAACCTAATCTGCTTAAGGAATTTGTAAGATTAAGATTTTCCCAGTTAAGGTATGCCTTATTCTAGGTTAGTAAAAACCGGTATTATATAGTACAATCCAGTCTGAATTTGAATTTGAATATAAAGCTTAACACTGTATAGTACAATTCTACATTTTTCTTTATTGACTTTGGGTGAAGCAAGCAACAAGCTTACTACTTTGACAATAAATATGATATAAGAGATGCTGTTCTATTTTGTTTTGCACACTATATAAGGTACGAAAATCTGTAAAAATATAATAAAAAAGTGTTAAAATTTCAATTGTTGAAGATAAATATAAACTGATTTCAGGTATGAAAATGGCGGCAATCGACTTAGCAGGTGATACTTTGGGTCAGAAACACCACAACTATAAAAATCTTGTTAGAAGCGCTACTGCTGATGATAATTTTAAACTAAGTAAACTGAATTATAGTGAAAGTACTACAGAATCTTCTCAATATAAAATAAACTCGATTTTAGGTGTTTTAGTATTTAGCGCCCGAGATAACTTTCAAAACATACAAACATTATTGGAATATTATCAGTCAAAACACATGGGTGAATTGTATGAGAATAAAGTTCAGTTTCATAAAGTACTCTCACCGAGAAGTTTAAATAAATTCAACGAACGCATTTGGTCTATTCTTGATGATATATTCACGAGTGTGGATTTCTACGCAGACACTAACAATGATGTTCCGAAGTGTTTTGAGGTCATGATCGTTTACAAGTTGACTCATGATGTACAAATCCCAGAAACATTTAATACGAAGGTTCATTTCAACAGCTTTATTGATTACCGCAGTAAGTTAAATGCTGATGAACAGCAAAAAGTGTTGGATTATGTATTTGAAACATGTTTTACGAAATTGTACAAGAAGGATATTGTGAATGAAGAAGAGATGAGTGTTATGGTAGATTTGGTTACAGGGGTGTTGGTCCTTTTAAAATCTGGAATAAAGGCTGAAACGACTATCCCGTAGTAATTGCTAACATACGAGAGATTATCAAGACAAAAAAGAATAATCATTGGGATATTGATTTATCTAAGTTATATAAAGTACATACATATTTTATGGTACAGTTAGATGATTAGTTTTATATCCTAGTGACGAGACATATTTTAGTGTATTAAAACACGATGCCAATCTGTTATCACGCTACAAAGATGATCTCATATCCAAGTGTTCCAAAGACTCAATTTTTCAATGTTGAGGATTTACTGGTCAAAATTAACAATTCCACAATGGGTTGAATTTTTTTTGGAATACTTACAGCAACCCATTGGGCAAGAAATAATGGTGAAAAGTTTATTAATTATTCTGCCTTATGAAGAAGCCATGACTATTTTAATAAAAAAGTACGCGCCAGATGAGATGAATTCCGAAAACAATAAAAATTTGAATAGTTTGCGTCAAAATATAGCAAGGTTTTTGTTTTTGCTACGTCCATCATTGGAAGACCAAGGAGATTTAACAATGTATGCGAAAAAGGAATATTTACGGTACCTTAATCACTCTCTCAATATTATTCTACGAAATATGAGTGTGAACGAGTTTTGGAGTACTATAGTAGTTTTATTAAATTATGGGTCTCTCCATAAACATGCTATACGTATGATCCATTCCGTTTTGAAGAAGAATACAATTGATAATTACCAGAAAGTGAAAATTCGACTTGCCATGAAGCTACTTGATCTTCTTCTCCGAGAGAAAGATACAACGATAGCTGTAGAAGTTTGGAATTTGTTTAGAAAAGTTTATGATGATTTATTACCTTCCGAAAGAAAAACCTTATAGAATAAAATTTATCATGTCACGCATAACTTGGCAGATGATCCCGTTTCTTTTATTAAAATATATATATATATATATATATATATTTTTTTTTTATTTATTCAGGAACAAACAGTTACAACAAAACACATATGAGCAAAATAAACATAACAACATATAAACCTATAGTTCCATACATATGTACTTAACTTAACATTACGGATCGGTAAACAAAAACAAAACATATTTATTTAAGTGCATGTTTAAACAGATATGAAAAACATTCAGGCATATAGTAATTAATAAAAAGTGTTGCTATACCACTATAACCTGGCGCAACTATACCTAAATGTTCCCCGTTCGCACGCAGCTAGTGTCTCGAACAGTCCGAACAGTATGCCAGTGCGCGACAGGTCGTCCGAGGAGCAGTTGCATTACACACTTAATCAGAGTTCGTAACATATACACGCCAAGTGACAACAATCTTTATAAAAAACATTCAAAGTGAAAGTGAGCTAGTTTTCTACATTCTGGAAGCCATGAGAAGCAACTAAGAAATATATATTTAAAAGATAGGGCATTAGGACTCAATTATGATGATTTTCTTGTGAATCGATCCGCGTATGAAGTGTTTCATAAACTAGATCCTAATTTTGTAGAAAATGAGATGATGAAAATAATTTGTGAGCGGATTTTTAAAGATAACAGTGAATATGATTGCGATATTTTATCTTTGTATTTATTCAACTGTGATTGTGAGCAAACTCAAATAAAAAGTTACGAAAAGATTCTGGTTCCAATAATGGAACATTGTTTTGCATCTTCGGAGGTACAAACTTGTGTCTCTTCTTGGTGTCATCCTCCTTGTTCAAGACATAAATTCTACTCGATTTTAGAAAGTCTTGCACGAAACTTTTTTGACTCAATTACTAAATTCAAATGTGCGGTACCTGTACGGTTATTCATTAACATTAGAAACAAACTGAAAATGTTTTGGATTTGGAAGAGGAACTTCATTTGATAATGACTTGGAAAATGTATATCATTTTCTTAAAAATATTAAACGATAATTTAAAAATGCATAAGGATCTTTTCGTTGATGAAGACCCAGAATCAAGATGGGATACAGTTGCAAACTTGGTTTAAATATATTAAAAATGTGTTAATTGAGTCTGCTTCATTTCATGTATTTATATCTAGAGTATGTTTAGAGATATTTTGTACATTACGTGTGGATAGAAAATTTAAATTATATTTTGTTAAATGGCTACTTACAAACAATAATGAACCTTTATTTTACTGTATTGCCATTGATATATTACGGCATGTGTATTTCGATGGCATTACTCAAGAAAACAAACTAAACGATTATATAGGAATGAGGAATGAACTTATTGAAATTATTTCTAAACACCCATCAGATGATGTAGTATGGTATTATAATCATTATAAAAATATCTTGTATAATTAAGAGTTGAACAAAACAAGATTGCATACGTAGCAATAATAATGATGGTTTTGTATTGTACAGTTTAGATTTAGATTGCGTTGTGGAATCACGGACGTATAAATCGTTAGTACCCACTGCTGCTATGCAGAATTTTATTATACCGCAGAAGCTCCATCTTAATAATGTCAAATGCAGAAAAAAATGCAGATTTAAAACTCTTGCTAACAGTTGTACATTTTGATGCTTTAGCTTACGCAGGCTCTGTATTTACTTATCATGTTAGTATGTTAAGATACCAGGAAAACTATTAGTGTAATAAAGACTGTGACTTATAACAATTCTGCTCATTTCCACAATTGCACTCAAGATGATACACAGTTTACAGGAAATTATTAATTAAGAACTTGAGTAAACAAATGGCGTAAATAATAAATTACGGCGATACATTTAGTTAAAATGTCGCATGACGTCACGCTTATGTACATTTTCTACAAAAGTGTGACGTGGCGAGCCGCCACTCGTCAACTTTAATGCCAAATTGAAGCAAAAATATGTATCTAATTTTTTGTCTATTATCTGACTGACGGACTGAATAGAATTTCTTTATTTCCCCAGTAGTCATCCGTTATGTCGTATATTGACATTTTATTGGAATATAACCTAATATGGTGGTCATCGCCATCTTTTATTGATTGCATTTTCATTTTACATGTAAAAATTAATTTATTTACTTGACATTGGCAGAATTGTGCGAAATGCGCAGATAAGCCATTAATTAAAAAAGAAGAAGAAGAAGACATTTTATTGTTGATTGTTTTTCTTGACATTCTCTGTAAGTACAGGATTATTTTTATAATTGACACGACATTTGATATAGTAATATGAATAATATTTAAATAAATTAAGCTGTATATATTATAGATAACGATATTGTGAAAATAGATTTTCGTTCTGGTGACATCTATACGCTTTATATTATTTGAAATTTTATATGTAATCACAAAGAAATTATTTCATTAATTCATTTAACCTGTCGATTACGAGGTTGTTTAAGTAATACCTACACGAAATGATAATTATATTTACACATCACATCACAATTATTCTTAATACAAAATGCATAAAAAATCCACTTGGTCCCTGGCACCCTGAGATGGGAATCGAACCCACGACCTTTCGCAATCCGGGTGACTGCTCTAACTACTGAGCTACCCAGGACCTAACAGGACTGACGAATCTTTCAAGCACTTGTTAGTTTTCGCTACTACAGAGCGTATTCTCATCAATCACAATTAATTACATATCAATGTTATTTTATATTTGTTTTCAGATTTAAACACCATGTCTCCTTTAACACTAGAAGGTGAGACACTTGGAAAGAAGCATCGACATTACAATACTTTAGTTAAAACAGCCGCCACTGCTGTTACGTACAATTTGGAAAATATACGTTACGATGACGACGATATCGACAACTTGTTTAAGGTTGATGTTGCGTGCGCACGTAGAAATGTGCAGTACATTTTAGAGGTGCTAAAAGGAAGCGATATACTTTACGTATCCCGTGCACTGCGGCATAGCGTATGGTTTCTGTGTGATGATCAGTATGCATATATAATCAACCCGCGCCACCTACACCAAGAGCTCTTTCCACAAATGGCTACTAAACCAAAGATCAAACTTCTTCTTCAAATAAGACTCCATCTGAAAAACTCAGATCGTGCAGAAGACTTTTTTTGAATATTATTGTGAAAACGATGTTGACGACGTTGCTCAAAATTTTTTACCATTATGCTCAATACCTTTCATTGAAAATGCAGTGCAACAATACCCACATAAACTTAGAGTCTCTTTGCTTGTATGATTATGCAAAAAATCTATTAGTACACTTAGAAAATATATTGAAAGTAGTGATGATAAATGTTTTGACCGGATTAATATATTGGTTTTTGTGTTACAAAAACCCAAAAGAATACTTTGACTTATTAGATTCCCTTAACATGTATCACATACTTAAGTTCGGGATAATATTAACGAAATCAAAAATGAAATCCTGTCCAGAAAAGATCGTTGATCTTGGTCTAGTTTCGATCATTTATCATTATTTTTAAGATATCTTCCTCATGGGAAAAGATTTGAGTACGTAAAAAAAAATATTTATAGATAATGAAGCGGTATTGGATAACAATGATGTCGAAGACGATTCTACTGATAAAATTCTGTTGCGGTTTTCGTCGTTTCCTTCATGTGACATTTATCATTAGTATCGCTTAGCTCCATTCGAAATAGCTTTCCCTGAATTGACAGAAAAAATAAATATTGAGTCTAAGCCTGATGTGAGATATACGATATTATATGTGCTACTGCATTGCGCTTGTGACGGAACACACCGCAATATACGCAGATACAATAAATATGTCACCATGAATTTAAATAAATAAAAAGAAAACAAATTTGAAAAGACAATTTTATTAACTTCAAAATTGTTGCATTCTAAATTAAGGTAAAAGGTTTAATTTAATTTTTGGAACGACTGAACATTCAGTAATAAAGTTACACTCCATCTATCGACTATGCTACACTATTTGCACAATCAGGACTTATAAGTAGATATTCTAAAGGATAATCTCTAACTAGTTCCAGTAATTGATACTAGATGGCGCCACGGACTCACCCATATTTCTGACAAAGAAATATGGATGAGTCCTTAGAAAATAAATTTCAGTTCTTTAAAAGAAAAACATGCAAAACTAACAACTACCTTAATAAATAAATAATATACTTAGCTATAGGAATCTTGATATCAATATCTTGAATCAACATCAGAATAGCAAAGAAAGTGCCTGAATCGAAACTGTGCTTTACTTTAAGTAATGGAAATCCCATATTCTTATCATGGATCTGCCAAACAGCAGGATACAATTATATCATTTATCGAGTAAATTTGGGGATCGTTTTATACCAATCCTACTATTGTTCAACTTGATAAACACTGTAATAAAACAGATTAGACCAAATTATATACGTCTGTATAGAATCTAAGAATAAGTTATTTTGTTTATAACAGGGTCGAAATTTAGATTTTTACTCTTGAACAATATCATAGGCATGAGTTCGATATATCAAAACGTATCTAAAAACCGTTATGAGTTACAATATCATATCGTATCGATAACTCAAATTACACAACCGTTTCTCATATAACCACCTAAATACAAATCACGATTTTAGTTACTTAACTCTCAGCGTTATAACAAAACAAATCTACAAAACCGTAATGTATCTCAAAACGTATTAGCTTGATATTCACCCCTTCTCTTTTAAATGCCGTAGGACAAAAAGAGATGAAGCGAATATCATATTTACAATCCAGTTTCGAACGCTCGAATCTGGCAAAATAACCTTTAATTTGAATGATTAAGGTCTATTTAGGCGCTAGCAAAGTAGCCAAGACACGATATTCGCACCATCTCTTTCTAATGTACGTCTAGGTGCAAAAGAGATGAAGGGAATATCATATCCAATAATTACCATTTTTTAGTTAGTATTACGAACGAGTCTAATCTTGCAAAATGGTCGTTAGTTACGTATTGGTAAGTTCTATAGGCCTTAATTTTAAATGCAGTATGGTTGGCTAACTGCAACGCTTGATGAATGATTTTTAGAAATTACGATGCATTCTGGGCGTAATTAAAATATTTTAATAATCCTTTATGTTTTAATGCTTTTTGCTGAATACAGTGTTTTTTATGAACATTGCGGTTTATTTAAGCAGTTTATTAGTGGATTTCTTTAATTAAAATAGTTCTTGTTAAATAGTATTATAGTTTAGTGAGTATAGTTAAATAGTATACGTATTTACGTGTAAATATAAATAATATATATATAATAGTAATATATAATAGTATTATAAATAATATAAATGATTAGTAAGTACGAAATTTTAATGAACAATGTCGCGGAAGCAAAATGAATTATGGGCACATTTTGCAAAAAAAGACAATGCTGTTCGATTGGCTGCTTGTAAATATTGTAATTTAACATTATCGTTTAATTATTGGAATAAAAATCCAATAACTAAATCATTAGATTTAGTTATTGGATTTTTATTCCTTTATTTATAAGTCTTCGCAATTTTGAAATTTTACTTGTCTTAAACATATTATTTTCATTTGGTTTTGTTAGATTATCTATTTAATGTAGGAAATTCTTTATTATTTTTTTCCTACTTTAACTGACACATTCAGATAATCTGCAGAATACCTTGTAATCTGCACTCTAACTGATTTACACATATTAACGGTAACATATCGAATGTTTATTCTAAGTAGTCCACAACTATTCCTAGATATCGATATCTGAAAACGGTTTGTAACATCGATATGAAAACTTGAAATCGGTTATGAAAAAATTGTAAAAACGCTCATATCTACAATATCATAATGAAATCTATCATTAATCTTGTTATATAGGTTTACAACTTAAATTACATAAAGTGTTCATTGCATAAAAGACCTCTCTGGACAAATCTAGGAATTTTGTAACGAATTGTAACTATATAAAATACTTATTAAATAATAAGATATTGTAATAAGAGTACATTTTTGGTACAAAATCCCAGGAATGAATAATGGAGATGAATAAAATTCACACTCGCAGAACGGAGACATTTATTTCTAACCAATTTTAAATATATACAATGACAGAAATATTTCATTATCGCGATGTAATTCGCCATAATGCCATCTAGACGTCAAAATTAATGTAAGTTGCAACATACCGCCCACCAAGGACTTGTCCTCTCTATCCGCCCACCATGACGATATAGAAAAAATTATCTGGTTTAGAACATTAGTTAACAATTAAAATAATCTTATTGCAGAACAAAAATCGAAAGTTTTTTTTACAAACAAATCTCTACAATATTTATGACAGTATTATTTACGCATTATACTTCAATACACGTTACTTAAGTAAATAATAAATTATGTACATATTATTTATCAACAGCAATAACAAAACACTACATTTAAATAAAAAGTATAACAAAACGTAATGTAAACATGAAATTATACATAAATTAATTACACATCATCGTGTACGGGCAAAAAACATAATTTTAAAATTGGACGCTTAATTACAGAGTCCTTGCAACGGATTGAAACCACACGTGTCACATTGTCCTTACCAGGATGCAATTTTCCAATACGGCCGTACAACCACCTAGCTGGAGGCAGATTGTCCTCTTTGATGAGAACGATATCCCCGACTGTACAATTTGCATTTCGAACAGATCACTTACGCCTTTGAAACAAACTTGTCAAATATTCAGAAGACCAACGTCGCCAGAAACTTTGCACCATCTTTTGCGTAAATTGCCAACGCCGTGAAGTGCTCAGACGTGTATGTTTCTCGAAACTATGATCTGGGGCTAATATTAAAGGTTCCCCTACAAGAATATGTCCAGGAGTTAGTGGTGTATCTTCTCTTGGATCTAAACTATTCTCTGATATAGGCCTAGAGTTTAGGCAAGCCTCGATTTGCGACAAAACTGTAGATAACTCTTCATATGTCAATGAAGAGTCGCCAATCACACGCTTTAAATTATGTTTAACGCTCTTCACGCCCGCTTCCCACAATCCTCCAAAATTGGGAGAGTGAGGAGGATTAAAATGCCATTCGGTATTATTATTGGCTAAACTTGAGATTTTTCACTAGCAAATAAACGTTTTAATTCTCGCGAAGCACCAACGAAATTTGTGCCGTTGTCGCTCCAGAGGTGACTACAATGTCCACGTCGAGCGACAAATCTTTTAAATGCAGCGAGAAAACCTTCAGATGTTAAATCTGACACGACTTCAATATGTATAGCTCGTGTCGACATACAAATAAATAAACAAATGTATCCTTTGTATCCTTTATTGCCACGACCTTTAGATACCCGTATATTAATGGGACCTGCATAGTCCACGCCAGCATTTGAAAACGGTTTACTGGGGACCACTCTACAAGATGACAGCTCCCCCATCAACGGACTTCGTGTAACACCTGCATAACGAATACACGAAACACAATTATGAATATAAGATTTAATTAATGAATTTGCTCTTATTATCCAATATTTTGATTGCAAAGAACGAAGCATCAGTTGTTGTCCCCCATGAAATGTTTTATCATGAGCATCTGCGATTAATAACTGAGCTAATCTTGAACCATGAGGCACAACAATTGGATGTTTACTTTCAAATGTTAGATCTTAATTATGAATTCTGCCACCTACTCGAAGTATTTCATCTTTGTCTAGAAATGGCGTCAATGAAATTAAGCTACTCTTTTTACTTACTTGTCTTTTTGATTTAAGCTCTTTAATTTCATCATGAAACCATGTGTTTTGACATTTACGTATACATAATTGTAAAGAATCCTTCAACTCCGAAACCAAAAGGTAAGCACTTACTGGAGTATTAGACTCACGATATTTTTTAAGTAAAAGAAATCTCCTACAAAATGCAACCACTCATCAATTTTCTTAATGAAGAATATTTATTCCATAACCAGTCTTCATCTTTACTAGAAACAAATGTGGTATGAGCTTTAATTGTTCTTGTTTCTTCTTGTGTTTGATGTGTCGGTCTTGAATACGTTATTAAGTCGTTTTTTAACCAACTCGGACCTTGTATCCACAGATCACTCTGCAAAAGTTCGGCTGGAGTCACACCTCGCCATGCTATGTCAGCGGG